TTCTTGAGCTGACCTCATGTAAGAATTGAGGTTTTTTAGCAGCAAAAACAACTTTTTTTTTCATGCTGATGTTGATAGCAGACAAAAGTTACTCAATTAACTTATGTAACCAAAATAAAATCTACACTGGAAAAAGAGTCAAAGAATAGATCATGTCATATTTGAAGCTTTTTTTTGTTTTCCCCTTTTAACTGAGAAATTACTTGATTGACATAAAAATACATGTTGTGCTTGTCCCATTGACAAACCATATTTTAACGTAATAAAAATACAGTATAAAAAGAAACAGTATTTACCCCAAACAACTTATTTTCTCTCCTTGTATCTGCAAGGAATCAGCAGTGACCTGATATTGCTCTGGCAAATGAGACTATAACTCAGACTTAATGAAGTATCCTTAACCTGCCTCTGATGCTAAGCCAACATAAATCATGATGTCATAGATAGGTTACATAAATATATGCAGCTCATCTCAAAATCAATGCGGAAACTTGACCATGAGAACCACGGTCGGTAGCTTCTCAAACTGCTGATGCGTGTTTATATGTGCAGGGCCCAGGGAGTAAGGGCAGAACAGCTCAAGTTAACATCATGACCCCGAAGTAATCTACCGAAGACAATCCACACATTTTGGCACCGTGGACGTTTGGCTTTTTCACAGGGATTCGCATGAGCTCCGATCCTCGCGCAGAAAACCTACACAACTGACCTGGACGTTATGACATGTACGGTTTGCGTGCACATGGAGCAAACATGCGGGCCGACAGATGCCAAAACATAAACACGACCCGGTACTGACATGGACTTTAGGACGTCTGTCATTCCAGTCGGGCAGGTCCCATGGGTCAAAGTCAGGGGCCAAGTTTATCACAGGAGCCCGGTGGATGTGGGAAAATGCAGTCAGACTTTGAACTATGGCAGGAGATCATTTAAAGAACACACATGAAAAAGCTCCATCAAAGCTACCATCAGGAACTTCTGGCATTAATCGGTATAAACCATGGACTGTATTTATTAACAAACATAGTCACGCCTATCTCCACCGTTCTAACTAATGGGCCAAAAATTGGGCTCTCCTGGAGTGATTAAAAATGGCCGCGGGGGCTGGAAATGTGAAAAAACGCATCTGTGCATGCGTCAGCTGCACGAGCTCCATTCATTTAAACGAGAGACTTCAAAAGTCCACAACGACTAAACTAGACTGGTCCAAAACACTCAGCATTGACACACATGTGGAACGGAGCTTTGGGCCAAGAGCTGACTTTTGGACCATCCTGTAAAGACGTTTTCGAGAGGTAAGAAGATGCTATATGTTAGCATTGGCTGATTCTTATTCCGGGTCCACCCCCACAGGCCCGGGGTGGTATTGCAGCATGTCAGCGCACGTCATTTTGGCCCCTACTGATATAAACGCATTTCTCTCAATAGGCGTTTTTTCAGAAGACCTGTGATTTCTGACCTGTGTTGAAATGGCATAAGATTAAGGGGATTCAGTTTGTCAGTTAATTTCACATTATTGTCCCGTTTGGAAATTTGTCCAATGCATTTGATCGTCCTTCCTCCATAGCCACAAAGGAGGCTTCAGCGGCAGTAGTCACCCTAGGTCTGTGCTTGGGGACCCCATCCAGATGTCACCTATTCTACTTAATAATAGTGCCAACACGAGACAGTTGGAAAAGATTGGCGCGTTGTTTGGACCTGTGTCTGCTTCTCACTACCGGGAAGACAACGTGGTGAACAAGAATACTAAGGTTGGGAAAAAAATCCATCTTCGCTCACAGCACAGTGCACCCAGGACCCCAGGGAACCACACTATTATGGACTAGAGCAAGTTTATCGTCCACTTGAACATAAACATTTTAAAGGACAGCTTAATAAAGGAAAGAGCAGTACGTGAAAAACTTTACGGTAAGAGCTTCATATCTCGCACTCAAAGATAACCTATTAGAAGTTTTTAATTCTTAACATTTGAGGTTGCAGGTCACATTTGAGTGCTGTGTCTTTGAGCGTCCTCCTGTCAGTGAAGTGAGTGTGTGCCAGGTTAATTGTATCATAAATCCACAAGCTGCTAAAAGACAAGCACGGCTGGAATTTACACCTCGGCTCGTCACTTTCTCACAGTCGCAGGCGTGCATTGTGTGTCAAACATAGAGCGCCTAATAAATCTGCTATGTTATCTATTTGAGGAAAGATGCCTGGGAACACTGCTGCTGGGCTGTCGCTATCACACTTCTTCTGAACAAAACATTATTATTATTATCACAGCAGCATTATTTCGTATTAATATTGAAGTAAGCAAGAGTCAGAGTTAAAAGCTTTTTCTTTTAGATTTGACATTAAAACAAACAATATTTATTTTACATCTGCTGATATTCAGGAAACAGTCCTATTGCCGTGTTTAGAGCTGGAAGTTAGCCTTGGAAAATAAATGCTTCAATAAAACATACTGAAAAATACATGATGAATACTATCTGAGCTACACTGTAAAGAATGTCCTTGTAGAAAAACGGTAAAAAGCTGCAAATATGGTTCCTGTCACATGGTGAGATGATGGAGGACTCAAATGCAGGAATGCAAAAGAATGATTTAATAAAATAAAAGTCCAGGTGAAAACATAACTCAAAGTCCAAAACACAGAACCAGGAACAGGACAGAACAGAAGTTGACAATACAATGGACTAGCAACAAGGGGAGAGAAGCACAGGGTACATATAGACACACAGAGACACAGGTGAAACACATCAGGGCGGGGCAGACAATCAAGACTGGGGAACAAGACAGGAAGCAAAACTAAAACCAAACCACAAGACCAATTTCAAAATAAAATAAAATTACAAAAATAAAATCCACACCATGACAGTACCCCCACTCCAAGGGACAGCTCCCAGATGTCCCCAAAAAACAAAAACACGAGCCAGGGAGGGTGGCGGGGGTCAGGAGGATGGGCCAGAGACAGGTCAGTGGTACGGAACCGATCAGGGACAGGAGCTAAAGTCCAGTGGCGACCTTCCCGAGGGTCTGGAGAGTGAAGGAGCTGGCTCACCCCGGACGAAGACATATGCCCGGCGGTGACTCAGGCTGGGGGCAGAACCACCCCAGACGGAGGTAATGTCTGGCGGCGGCAAGAGTCAAGGGAAGGACAGGTCACCATTGAGCAGCAGACTGAGGATGTGAAGACCGGTGCACAACTCCACTGGCTACCTCTCAGCAGGACGGGCAGAGGGAACAAAGGACCACCCCGGACGGACATCAATGCCCGGCGGTGGTGCAAGATGAATAACCACCCCAGGCGGAGTTTCTTGCCTGGCGGTGGTTCCAGGTAACAGGTGTAAGAGGTAGGCAGCGAAGAAGGCAATCGGCACAAAAAAAATAAAGAAATAAAAAACCTTGTGGGAAAAAAGGCAATCCGCTGAGTCCATTTGTGGCTAGTCCATTCTGTCACATGGTGAGATGATGGAGGACTCAAATGCAGGAATGCAAAAGAATGATTTAATAAAATAAAAGTCCAGGTGAAAACATAACTCAAAGTCCAAAACACAGAACCAGGAACAGGACAGAACAGAAGTTGACAATACAATGGACTAGCAACAAGGGGAGAGAAGCACAGGGTACATATAGACACACAGAGACACAGGTGAAACACATCAGGGCGGGGCAGACAATCAAGACTGGGGAACAAGACAGGAAGCAAAACTAAAACCAAACCACAAGACCAATTTCAAAATAAAATAAAATTACAAAAATAAAATCCACACCATGACAGTTCCAGGGATTTACCGTTTTCTCAACATGGCATTACCGTTGCAAATTTTAACGGTTAAAGACTGTTTCACATTATAATGTTAATGTTTTATTTTTACACCACTGTTTCTGTTTCTAATTAGTTTCATTGAACAAAAAACTCCAGTTTAATTTGTTTTACTTTAATCAACACAACTTTTCAATTATTTTTTAACACCTTCAGTTTATACAAGAAAATAATTGAAATCTCTACTTCTATAACATGTTTAACACAAAAGCATTATTTTAACAAAAGCAGAGTGCACCTCTGACACTCATTTTAAGGTATTGTAACTTTTTTTGTAATCACATTATAATTGTGGTCATAAAACGCCACTGGATGTTTTTTAAACCAATTTAAACTTAAATTTGCATGTTTGAATTGTTTTTCAAAATAACATTTGTTTATTGTTGAAATTTCATTGTCATTTTACAGATTTTTTTTTACAGTGTATAAACAATTAAAGCTGGGGTACTGTTAGTATTAGATAGCAATATGGCCTACGTGCAGGACTCTACAAGGACTCTGATTATTTTGACTCTGATGTGACGGTCTCTGTGTGACACGTCTTTCCATGTGTGACGTGACAATGACTATATAAACTGTGTACTGCCTTTATTCTGTCTGAGAGAAAGAAACAAAGGAAACCACTGGAACTTGAGAGAAACTTAAATAAACTTCCAGAGTTTGGCGCACCACGATCCGTCTCTGTCTGCTTCATCCCTGACAGTACCTAACTCTCAAACCACAGAAGAATCTAGTCTCTTGCTTGCAAAACAGTTTGAGAGCAAGAGACTAGAGTTCATTATGCATGTTTTTGACCATCTGTCACATCTTCAGATCAGCTTCTCCAACAGAAAAGAGAGAGATGACCACCTTACTCAGCCCATTAACCCAATCACAGCGCTCTTTCTTATGCGTTGATGATTAAAATGTTTTCTAAAAAGAGGCAGACAGCATGTTGAGGTCTGATTTGTTCACAGAATGCTACTTTTACAGCGACGGGGCTTGAATGTGTTACAACATGTTATTTGTATTTAGTTCACACATTTCTCTGCAGATGTCGATAATATGCCACATGAGGAACACACACAGTTTTATTGGACCTTTAAAAGTGGAATTGTGTGGTGTTGATGGTCCGGTCTGACTCCCTCCAGTGATTAGGCCAAGTTCCCATCGGACAGTGTGTGTGTGTGTGTGTGTGTGTTTGTGTGTGTACCTATGCGGGGCCATAACCCAACACACCCATAAACTTCCTCTTTTGCTCCTGAGTTTTACAATGAGCTGCCGTGTCGTCCAGCTGCTGTGAGAGTGCCACTTCCCTCTGCTCTGATTGGACAAAGTCTCTGATGGTGAGGCTGATGGAGAGAACACAGCACTTGCTTTGGGATGCTGTTAAAGCTGCAGTGGCTGAGCTAACTTATTTTTTTCATAGATACATGTTGTTTGTATCAACAGAAAGTTTTGTTTGTAAATCTTCTCAGAGCTGATTTGCTGAAATAGTTACACAAATTTCATTACATAGTTATTTTTGTGTGATTTCAAAGTGAGAGATCGACTGATAAACAGTATCTGGTTGATTCAAAGTTTATTTAACCAGGAAAGCCCCACTGACATTTCAGAATATCTTTTTCAGGGGGAGTCCTGGCCGCAGAGAGAGGGAAAATATTGTGCATGTTATGGTGCACAATATTTGTATATTTTGACCTTCTGACCTGTATATTTTATAATATACAGGTCAGAAGGTCCTGATAAGAAGAGTGGATGGATCTATAAACAAGTCCAGGTCTGTTTTTTTTTTTTAAAAAGGAAACATTACAAGCTAAAAAAGATCAACCTTGCATAATACGTCTACGCTTTAACAAGACAGTGTGTGTTTCCGGAGAAGCCGAGAAGAATCGGTGACCTTGTAAACCGGAGCTGAACAAAGCCTTTCTTTCACCGTCTCCTTGCGGGTCTACACAGGCGTCTCACGTGAGTCCAAAGTGACATAGAGAGTCTGAGGTTCAAAGTCAAGACCTTTTTCTGTTCCCTCTGATGGTCTTGTGGTTACGGCTCTGTCTCAACAGGAAGCTTCATCAAAAGTAAGACATTTCTAGCGAGACACATACCACACATTATGTTCTTGAAACTTGATAAATGCGCACACACATCCGCTTTTACCTGTCTGGGCTTGAGTGGTGTGTGTGTGTGTGTGTGTGTGTGTGTGTGTGTGTGTGTGTGTCTGTGTATGTGTCTGTGTGTAGAATTTCGAACTCCTGATCACACCAAGTATTTTAATCCAATCAGCTTCGTTTTCACATGACGGTCACACACTGCGCTGCCATGGCAACGGTGCAGGAGAGAGAGAGAGAGAGAGAGAGAGAGAGAGAGAGAGAGAGAGAGAGAGAGAGAGAGAGAGAGAGAGGACATGGGTGAGAGAGTGACAATTACACTTATGACTATTGTTGGAGCCTATATAGACGTTTAGTTGTTTTGATTTTATTTTGATACATTACTATTTTGTTTGTATTATTATTTGATTGAAGTGCATTATTTTTGTGATTAGATTAGAATTATGATTATTTGGCAATTGATTTAATTTGGTATATTTTGCATCTAATTTAATTTAATTTTGTTAATCAAAAGTTAATCATGGATTTATTTTGATTCAATATACATTTTATATTTTTTCTCAGTCGTGGCCCAGGCTAGTTAAGGCGCAGGTGTGCCAGGGGAAAGCGTGGAGTGTGGAGTGGAGCCACACAGTTTTTTGACCTCTCTCTCTCTTACTCTCTCCTTTAAGTCCTTTTCCTTTTTGTCCAGTATGTGTTTATTTTGTGTGTGAACTCAGTAAAGAGTTTTTAATAGAATTTTACTGTTCCATGGATTTATTCACTCACTTTATACACTATGGATTATGGTTTGAGAGCGTCAACTACACGGCTTCACTGTTTGGACCCTACAACTATCACTAACAGCAGACCCTTAATTTCTTTATCAAAGGAGGAGTATTCAGAGCATGGAATGAGATGGTGCTTTTTTCTGAACCTGAATACTTGATAAGTGCAGGAAAAAGTACCATGAGAAGTTTACCAAGTAGCTTTCTGACAAACCAGGTCTGTTTGAGTAGAATACAATTTTAAAAAATGTGTTAATCAAATATTGCACTTAAGTTCATGAGGGCGATAGTAGCTCAGTTGGTAGAGCATCGGCCATTGGACCTTAAGGTCGTGGGTTCAATTCCATTATAAGACCTATTTCAAGACTCCAACTTTTGTCCGCTGTCGTTGTGTCCTTGGGCGAGACACTTAACCCCACTTTACCTGAAGCCCCCACTGAAAGATCTCAGCTCCTGTGGACTCAGCACCTGCAGGAGGATCAGTGAGGGGCTGGTGCTCTGTGGACTGGCTGCAGCTCTGATGGCCACCCCCCTGACCCAGAAATGGATAAAGGGGAAGAAAATGAATGGATGGATGGATGGACAGGAGAATCAATTGCCTTCTTGAGCAAATCCTTTCAAATTTACTACCAATTATATGTTGACATCTTTTGACAAATCAAAACGGAGATATCTGCAGTTTTCTAAATAGTTAATCAATATGAATCTTGATGCAAAACTGAAAACAAAACACAAAATAAAAATAAAAAGCTGAAAGAGCGTTTATTGTATTAATTTTATTATATATATATTATATTATTATATATTATATTAAGTTTATTATTTTATTTTATTGTGAAAGGCAAATTCCAACATGTGATGCGTTGGCTTTCTGGAGGTATAAGTCGCATTAAATACAAACAAATGAAATGATTAAATGATTATATAAAAGAATTTGCATTCACACATTCAAGATTCATGAGAAAACATGACATACACACTTTATTCCAGTAGATGACTTATCCATATCTAAAAAAAAAACAAAAAAAACAAAGTTAAACCAATAAGAATGAGAAGTATTTCAAATAATCACAGTTGCAACTACAGCCCAGTCGAAAGTGTATGATGTTATGCTAGTCCAGGGGTCTCCAGCCTTTTTCAATCGGAGAGCTACTTTTATACAAATAAACAGGCAGAGAGCTACTCCTTTTTGCAGTCAGAAAAAAAAATTTATCTAATAATTACGACCAAACTCAGAGAACACATATAAAATACACCATAATACAGTATAACCCTATATTATTATTGTTTTTGCTCGAGAGATGTCAAATTCTGCACTTTGAGCCTTAATTTCACCCCCTGAACATGCATGAAAAGTTGTAAAATGTTGTCCAAAAATCAGACCTGGCGAAAATTTGATATTTTGGTGTTTATTTGTATGGGACTCAAAAAATGCCAGAACAGCGCCCCCTACAACAGCCAAAATAATACCCCTATGGGAGTTTTGGAGATCAAGTTTGTCGTAGAGCCATGACATTTGGTACACATGTTCCTCAAGTCAAGACATGTAAAAAAGTTTATTATGGCCCCGCCCTCTGACAAACAGGAAGCCCATAAATGTCACTGCAAAATGGAAAAATGAACAGCAAAAGTTTTCATACATGTCGGTTGGAAAGCGACTCCTCCTCGATCGCTCCACATCATCTAGCAATAGAAGAATGAATTACATTCTTCTATTGCTAGATGATGTGGAGCGATCGAGGTGGTGGCGAGGGTCGTTCGACGCCGCTTGCGGCTTTAATTATACTTATAATAGTTATGTAATGGGTCAAAAAAGTATTCGTTGAAGTGTATTTGTTAAATTTTAATTCCTTTGGCGAGCTACCTGTAAGGGGCTGGCGAGCTACAGGTTGGAGACCCCTGTGCCAGAAATATTATTCCATTTGTTTAAACAAGGGCTCTCATGTGTCTCACGTGTGGAATATAGACTCACAATAACATATCGAGACCTTATACCACAACGTTTTACTTACTCGTAACCCAATTATCTGAACTTACTTATTATTATTATTATAAGAACTATAGTTTATTTTGAAATAGCAACATGACATTAAAACAGGTTTGAAGTGATTAGACATGCCAAGTTCAGACAATCATCAGTTCTTAATATTTGGTATTTATAATTACTATTCAATTCATTGCCATTATGAAACATTTCAACAATATAGCAATGTTATATTCAAAGCCAATTATTTTCTGGAAATGTCTCAAATAAATATGCTGTCTGTCTGTATTTTAAGTTTGGGAATGATTTTAATTCATTTATTGATATTTATCGATAATACTTTTGCCACCTCTGACAAATATATGTGTGAGGCAGAATTGTCAGATCAACAGGCGAACGGTGAGCTCTGCCTTGTGGTTTGCAGTTAGCACGCACCTTGAGCTGTTTCTCACTTTTAATGTCATTTCCTGCTGAATGTAGAATCAACACGTTCCACTCACAGACAGTTTAATTCACTGCCCAAACGGAACCGCTCCCAAGCAATGTATACTGTAGATGCAGGTCTCCATCTACTGGTTGAAAACAGTACTGCAGCCAAAAACACACAATATTAATATAAATGTCACCAACAATACATTTTTTAATAATCGCACTTGTCATATGATTAACATTGCAAAATATCACATCCACAAATAATCATAGACTGTAAATAAGTCTCTTCATGGCCTTGCACCAAAATATATTAGTGACATGTTAGTCCCATATGAACCAGCCCGGACTCTGAGGAGCACAGGGACTGGACTCCTGCTGAGACTCTGAGGAGCACAGGGACTGGACTCCTGCTGGGACTTTGAGGAGCACAGGGACTGGACTCCTGCTGGGACTCTGAGGAGCACAGGGACCGGACTCCTGCTGGGACTTTGAGGAGCACAGGGACTGGCCTCCTGCTGGGACTCTGAGGAGCACAGGGACTGGCCTCCTGCTGGGACTCTGAGGAGCACAGGGACTGGACTCCTGCTGGGACTCTGAGTGTCCAGAGTCAGGACTAAACATGGGGAGGCTGCTTTTCAGATTCATGCTGCTAAAATCTGGAACAATCTTCCTGAAGATGTGAGACAGGCCTCCTCTCTGACAATGTTTAAAACCAGGTTAAAAACAGTTCTTAGTTTAGTTTAGTTGTGCATACAACTGAGGGATTTTATATTTTTATATTTATGATTTTAATGCTTTCTTATTTTGTTCAGCACTTTGAGTTTCCTTGTGTATGAATTGTGCTATACATATAAACTTGCCTTGCCTTAGACTTTAAATTTTCTTTAGATACAAAGCAACCAATCTAAGCAATACAAATGTAAAAGTTGTTAATAATATAGTATGAGTGTGAGCTGTATGATTTTCTGTTTAAAGGTTGAACTTGGTGCTATGTGGACTGGGTGGCATCTCTGACTGCCACCACCCGGACCCAGGAATGGATTAAGGGGAAGAAAATGGATGGATGGAGGTTGAATTTGGGTCCAAGATCAAGCCTAGGAATATGAATTCATTCAGGTGGCCAGGCTTGACAGATTCTGAAGAAGGCACTGACTTTTACTGAACATAACACATCCAGAACTCCGCCGCCCGCCTGCTCACCCACACCCAGAGACCACATCACCCCTGTCCTCAAACAACTCCACTGGCTCTGTTTCATATCGCATCCAATACAAGATCCTCCTTCTCACCTACAAGTCCCTCCATAACCTGGCCCCCTTTCCTCACTGACCGCCTCCATCATCGCTGCCCCACCTGCCGCCTCACACCGAACCTTGGGGGACCGAGCCATCGCTGCAGCCGCCCCCACTCTCTGGAACTCACTCCCTCAACCAATCAGAAACTCAGACTCACTACAGAACTTTAAATCTCTTCTCAAAACCCACCTGTTTCAGCCTTTTCTTCATTGTGTTCTTCAATGTTTATGTGTTTTGTAAAGCGTCTTTGAGTGTCCAAAAAAGCGCTATATAAGTTTGATGCATTATTATTATTATTATTATTATTATAATAATGCAGACTATTGTCCTTGGCCCAGGTTTGAATGTGGGGCACGGCAGAGGTTAACATTTGAAAGAACTCCTGTGGTGTTTTTGCTTTGGTAAAAAATAAGCAGCATCTACGTACATTTGAATGTTTGCTCACATTAGTTAAATCATGTAAATAAAAATAAAAATTAAATTATCTATTATGCAAGTCTGAAGTTTCAGTACAAATTGGAAGCAAATCTCCCACACTGACAGTTTATAATGTAAAAAAACCCACAATTGAGTAATAGGTTTAATATTTTTAATACCTGTCTTTTCTACAAATGCAACTTTGGAGCAGCATCATGACAGAAGAATGTCAAAAACAAATTATCGACAGAACAATACAGAATATGGATCGGAAAACATTAAAACAACAAAAGTCTTTTAAATTAGTTGCCTTCGAGGTTCATGAGACAAAATCAGAATTAATTTTAGGACATAGTTTAAATATGTGCACATAAACCAGTCCTTTATTTATCAGTCAAGTCTGTGTCGGATTTTGAGACGACAATTGCACTTTTCAAATAAACCAAAACACAAGTTCATTCATTTGCGATTTTGTCTGGATAAAGATTTCATGAAAAGAACATTTGAAATTAAAGCGCACATTGGTTGAGAGTGGGTGGCTGTTGTCTTACGTCTTATTTGCAGTAGAGTCCTTTATTTAGTTCATGCGCGGTGGCTTTTAGTGTCTACAGATTTGCGTTGACGCTTCCTCTCCTCAGAGCCACCAGAAGCGCACGTACACAATGAGCATGATGAAGAAGACTCCGCCGGCCGCGAGCTTGGCGTACGTGGAGCGGGTGTTCAGGTACTTGGCGTCACTTCTGTATTTCTTTGACAAGGACGACAAGTTGATGGCCTTGGAGTCGAGAGCTGTGGAAAAAGAGAACACATTTTAATATTAAAAGTTTTGCAGGATTTTAACACTTTAAAGAGCGACTAAACACCTGTGCCCAGCCTGACTCCGCCCACATGAACATTTTAATATTTTCTCTTAAAGGAATAGTTCACCGTTTTTACATACTGACATATGTTCTTACCTTACCTTAGACTAGTTAATACGTACCTGTCTGGTCTTAGTCCGTGCGCTCTGTCATGCAAACGGAGCAAACACGGGAGCACAAACGCAGCCTCCTCTGTATACTGTGTAGGACCAAAAGGTAGCTCCCGCTAGAAGCTACCAAACTCTTCCAAGTGTTCCCTATTAAATGTATATAGTTACGTGACGTGTTACACTGCAAAGTATAGTAACACAAAAATGTAACAGTCGATTTTCTCAGCGGATAAAACGGGTACTATATTGTGAGGCGTAGTAATCTGAGGAGCGCTACGTCCGCGCACTAACTTCTCTCCGTACTACAAGTCACGCTGCTTCTATTGACGGAAGTGAGCGAGAGAGAAGTCTCCGGAGAGAAGAACTCCCGTGTTTGCTCCGTTTGCATGACAGAGCGCACGGACTAAGACCAGACAGGTACGTATTAACTAGTCTAAGGTAAGGTAAGAACATATGTCAGTATGTAAAAACGGTGAACTATTCCTTTAAAAGGGCGTTGGCTGGAGGACCAAGGGACAAGAAGGGGGGCTTAGAGGTGGGCGTGGTCTGGGCTGTGATTGACAGCTCACTTGTCACACACAAACAAAAAAAACAGACAGTTGTCATTGCTGCTTAAAGCTGCAATAACTGACATTATTTTTGTATTCATTACTAAAATGCTATCCATGTCCGTGTAGGGCATTGGGATATACGTCCTTTTGAAGAAAAAGTAGCGCAGGTTTGTGCTGGCGTGACATTATATTTTAGTTCGAGTTTTGATGAAACAAGGAAGAGAATATGGGTCGCAGATTGTGACCAATCACAGCGGACCACTAGCCCCCACTTTTGTGAGAAATCTACAGGTCCGTTAGCATAAACGGCTGAGTTAGCACAACAAGCGGCGGAGCTAACCTGAAGCTTCCGTGTCTTCGTCACCGGTTACTGCTTACACAGCGAGACAGCCAAAAGAAAGTCCCGTTCCTCCGCACTTCCCGGTTCTATCGTTCTATGGTCACGCCATCCACGTGAAAATCCATATCCATGTATTATCCATATTGGGAGACGCTAGCTCCAACAGCAACAGTAGGTGCGTGTGGGGGGTGATATCTTCGTGGGTGCGGGGAGGGGAGCAGAAAGAGAGGCCAGAGAGTCCGCGGCTTCAAAATCCCAAAGTCAGTTAGTGCAGCTTTAAAGTAATAGTTTACACACCAGAAAGTCTCATTCCTTTGTTTACACACTAAGATAATTGTAGAGCTACACACCTGAACCTAAGCCACAGAATTATCTCAGCAGCAGTGGCTCCAACTCATGTAATTTCATTTTAATCCACTAGATGTCGCTGCTGGGGGGTGTGTGAGAGTTGGGTTTGTATCACTCGCGCAGACAGACGCACGTCGCACACACCAACTGACGTCACACACACACCAACTGACGTCACACACACCAACTGACGTCACACACACACACCAACTGACGTCACACACACACCAACTGACGTCACACACACCAACTGACGTCACACACACCAACTGACGTCACACACACCAACTGACGTCACACACACCAACTGACGTCACACACACACCAACTGACGTCACACACACCAACTGACGTCACACACACCAACTGACGTCACACACACACCAACTGACGTCACACACACCAACTGACGTCACACAAACCAACTGACGTCACACACACCAACTGACTTCACACACACCAACTGACTTCACACACACCAACTGACGTCACACACACACCAACTGACGTCACACACACACCAACTGACGTCACACACACACCAACTGACGTCACACACACCAACTGACGTCACACAAACCAACTGACGTCACACACACCAACTGACTTCACACACACCAACTGACGTCACACCACACCAACTGACGTCACACACACCAACTGACGTCACACACACCAACTGACGTCACACACACCAACTGACGTCACACACACCAACTGACGTCACACACACACCAACTGACGTCACACACACACCAACTGACGTCACACACACACACCAACTGACGTCACACACACCAACTGACGTCACACAAACCAACTGACGTCACACACACACACACCAACTGACGTCACACACACACCAACTGACGTCACACACACACCAACTGACGTCACACACACACACCAACTGACGTCACACACACACCAACTGACGTCACACACACCAACTGACGTCACACAAACAACAACTGACGTCACACACACACCAACTGACGTCACACACACACCAACTGACGTCACACACACCAACTGACGTCACACACACCAACTGACGTCACACACACCAACTGACGTCACACACACCAACTGACATCACACACACACCAACTGACGTCACACACACCAACTGACGTCACACACACACCAACTGACGTCACACACACCAACTGACGTCACACACACCAACTGACATCACACACACACCAACTGACGTCACACACACCAACTGACGTCACACAAACCAACTGACGTCACACACACCAACTGACGTCACACAGTATTACAGAATCAATGAAGAGGCCAGGACCATATTCAAATGTAGTACCACCAAAAAGGTAGAGAGGGCGCCACACAGACGTTTTAAGGCTCAAAAGTGAGATTTTATCTAATTTGAACTAAAATGTCAAAAAAATGACCAGGATATGTAGAGAGTACTGCAATAAACATATTTATGCAGTTTTGTGAGTAAAAAAAAGTTGATTTGGTGTTTAGTCACTCTTCAAATAGCTTCAATAACAGATAATTGGTGGAAGTCATTACATTGTTGGTCTCCTAAAGTTGGAGTAAATAACTTTGATCATTTTAATTATTGACCTTTATTTAACCAGAAAAGTCCCACTGAGATTAGTTTATCTTTTTCAGATGAGTCCTGACCGCAATCTGTAACTAGTTCCTCACTAGTTTGTCTGTGCATGTACGGTTTGGCATCCGTCACATTAGATAAGCTTATTCAGTGGAAGAGCATTAGCCTCACTCGGCCAATCAGCTCTCAGTATGTGAAAGATAACATGATTTCTAGGTATATACAATATGTTCAAAATTACAATAAAATGCATTTGGATTCAATTTTGGTTCATTTATTTTCAGGTTTTTTGGTCTCTGCAGTGAATAAAAATACTGATAAAATCTGGGTAGACATTACTCAACAAGGCAGAAAAGAAATCAGTTAATCAATTATTGCAACACATCAGGTTACAACATTTAGAAACAGCTACAAAAAAGCGTCTCTTCTTATTTTTCATATTTATAGAATTGGTTTATTGGACATTTTTGCAGATGTCGATTGATTGTGCTCTCCAATAACACCGGATTGGATTTACAGTTTGCATTTCAAGAAACCAATGCAGATATTTAGGCTACAAACAGAAGGCAATACAAAAATGAGTTTAAGTATATACCCACCTCTAGTCCTGACCTTCTGACTGAGCTCCTTTAATACAAATGAATGTAAAAGTTGCATACCAGAAAGGGCTTCTCCTCTCTGAAGAACCTCCTCTATGTTTGCCACCATGATTCTTTGAACATCCTGCAGCTCTGTGTTGATACTTCCCAGATTTCTCCGTGCTCGGCTATCGATGTAAGACTTTTTAGTTTTCTGGATGTAAGAATCTAGGAACAAACAAAAACATGACACCATCTGAAGTGAGCTTTGTGCCCAATGCATTCTGTGGCACCTGCATTAGCTGCATAAGAAAACAAGACAAAGGTGACATTTTCTTACCAAATTCAATGAAGGCGTACGGTCTGGACACCAAGGGCACCTTCTTTCCGTGCTGCTCGTGAAACTCGGCATGCAGATCTTCAAGGTAAGCGAACGCTAGCTTCTTGGGGAAACTGACTTCACACAGCACCAGGTAACACACACCGTTCTCTATACAATAGCTGTATATTGATAAAGAAGAAATATTAAACATTATTTTTGTAGATTAAAAATTACAATGTGAAGCATGTGAGGCAATATCTTGAGTAGAAAATTTATGGTGTAACAAGGAAGCCTAAAAAACTTTCTGCCTATTTCTCTGAGCATGACGTCGTAGTGGTACAATGACATCATACAGGACTGAGACCGGAGCTTTTGGACGGAGTGAAGTTACATGTTTGAGCCAGAAGTTCATAATATTAGAGTGGATGGATCTAAAAACAAACTTTTTTGATGAGTAGCAATGTTGTAACATAATTAAAGGTCAAATAATCTCTTAAAATCCATTTATTGGATGTGAAAACTTACTGGAAAGTGACGGAACCCGCCTCCAGAGTGCATCGCTTTGGGCTCTGTTCGTTGAGTTTCCTAAAGAGCTGCTTGGCTTGACTCTGATATTGCTGGATGTCCCGACCCAACTAAATAAAACACAAAGACAACATTGTTTTGTATGTCACTTTGTATTGGGGGCTGAAAAGTGAGCGTGACAGAACATAAATACACAAAAATACCTCAGCGATGTCACAAATACATTGCATTTACAACTGGCCTTGAAACCAACTACAGAGCAGGCAGACAGGCTGTGCTGCTACATTCATAGTTAGGATTTAGAGACATGTAGCATCACATATCCATTCATTAGAACAGAGACACTACAAACCTTTTTACTTCCCTTTTTGAAAGCAAATAAGAAAGTAGAGAAACACATTAGACCAAGACAAAACAAGCAATCATGACCCTACCCTGGTTATGTAACAGTTATGAACGCTTATCACCACTAGAGCCTAACGGGATGTGTGTGTTGTGAAGCTAGGCCGAAACACGTTGGTGCGTATTTTACATTACAAAGATAAAGGCTTTTTAACTCTCTAAACTATTGACCACGGGTGCCTTGGATTATTTTGACTTTCTAGCCTCTTTATGTCCACTTTTTGTTACTAAGTTAAACCGCCCTTCCAATTGAGCGCCTGATCTTTTAAATATTTTTACTCCCTACCCTTTTTTTTTTTTGAGATATAATGTTTACCCAACAATTAGATATGTTTTTACAATTACCGTTTTAGTTCCGAGTTAAAAGGCATGTGGACTCAGCTCAGCTCAAACAAGAAACTGCTCTAACAAGTTGGCCAGCTGTCTCCTGAAAAATCCAACTTTGTATATAATTTCAGTTTGAGCATGACAAAGTAAAGATTAAAGGTCAGAAATACAGTTGTACTTTAAAGGGCAGACATTTTTGCCCATACTTTGGAGATTATGAATGATAATGCACTCGTCATGTCAAGCTACTTCTATTTTCAAATGATAACAACAATGGAAACTCCTCTTCTGACCCTGATTAGAAGTCTCCATTCCCTCAGTTATTAAAAGCGTGTCTTGCACCTTTAACATCAATGACAGCTTGGAGTGTTGTGGATCTTGAAGCTGCTCATTCTTCTAGGCAAAATGCTTCCAGGTTTAGTAAATTCCTGGAGCACCTTGCATGAACTGCACATTTGAAATCCCCCCAGAGCGGCTCAATGATATCATAATATTGGAAAGAAAAATAGAGATTCACAGAAATAAATAGCTTCAGTCGAGCGTTTTTAAAGTACGGTTTTATGGGCTGATATGACTGTCTCCACTGTTGTTTGATTGTGTAATTCTTTCTTGTGTTTTTAATTATTGCTTGTTTTTGATGTGAAGCACTTTGTGACCTTCTGTCTGAGAAAGGTGCTATATAAATACACTTTGCTTGCTTGCTTGCTTGCACACAAACACTAACAATGAAAGGAGAGTACAACAATAGTATTGTGATATCATTCATAATAAGCCATATAGTTTAAAAATGTATAAAGGACTTTCAGCTGTGAATATGTGTGGAGGCAAATCACACAAACACAGCATATTTAATGGGTCATAATAACATACGTGTGCAGAGATCTCTCAAAAACACTGCATGGAGTTAAAAGGCCTCTGCCCTCCAGCTGAAATGTTGACGCACTCAAATTCTACAACGTGTCATTAATAGGATCGAGTTGTAAATTCTCAGTGGAGTTCCGCATTAAAAACAAAAATAAAAAAAAACATAACATTCACTACAATTTGGAGAAATCATATTGTTTTTGGCACAGGACCAGTCAAACAGCTTGACCACACCATGAGCCACATCAGCAGTGGACTTGTACCTGTTCGTCCTCTTGCATGGAGGCGGCCAGCGGGAGCCCGTCGGCCAAGCGGGCTATCATCGTGAGCAGCACCATGATCCAAACCGGTCCTGGCCCCCTTCACACGTCCAGCTGACTGCTCTGTGTGTCTGACAGGCTGGACACTGACAACACCACACAGTCCAACACGGCAAAGAGACGCTGAGCTGGCCGGAAGCGCTGTGAGATCTGTGTGTGTGCGCCAAAAACACGTCCCCTGCTCCCAACAGCGCGGAACCCCAAACTCACACCAATCTAAGGTTCCGCTGGTTTGTGTTGTTTTGGTTTGGTTTATATCTGTAGTGACTATTTGTCAAAAATTAGACTATCAAACAAAATTTAACCAAACTTAAGAACATACAAACTCAAATAATCACTAAAATGCACCATGGGTAAGTGGTTTAGTACAAAAAATAAACAAATGTCCATTCCAAAAATGTAAAGTTCAAAAAAGGTTTATTCATCAAGTTGCAGGCAAACAACACAAAAATGCTGCATCTCCCAGAACTGGTGAAAAAAAGGCCCACCCAGGTGCATGAAGGCCCGCCCTGTACTGCCCCCTTTTACCCCCTAGGTGCCACTAAACAAAACTAAACCTAACTGAAATAAACCCAATATAATCTATAAAAATATCTAAATTACCAAAAAATACAAAAATATTAACTTCAGTAAAAAATAACTAAATATAGAAAGATATACAAAACCCCCAAATAAATTACATTCATCTAGCCTACAAGCAAATAGCTCCTACAATTTCGTTATAATTTTATTCTACTGTACCGGTAATCGATGTTTGAATGTTATTCTATTTAAATGTTTGTCTTATTTCATTTCATAAAAATAATGCTATCCAAGATCAAACGCTGCCTACAATACATTCAGTAGAAATGTAAATTTTGTGTCAAAAACAATGTAGAACAATAAAACAGAAGCACTCAATCCTCCATTAGGACATTCGCCCAGAGCCGTTGGCATTTTGGTCTTGGTGTCATTTAAACTGGATTCCACTATGTTTTCGTATGGCGCAGAATGTTATAATTTTGTATGGCTCAAAATAAAGTATACAAATCGAAAAATAAAATCTATAAATCTGGACTACAGGAGCAGTGAGGAGTCAGGAGTGTTTAATTTGAGGATCCTTGTCTGAAAGGTTTTGGAACCCCTGTCCTAACCTAATACAAAACAACCATTGTCAAGATGACTTCCCTTAGCCCATAGATGGACAATGCAAACCTGCTAGCTCAATGAAGCCCAGTAGGGAAGTGCTCATGGACGAAGTTTTGAGCACTTCGCTCAAAGCACAGCAACTTGCTCTGGCTCCTATTGACTTACATTGAAAATTAAACTGCTCTAGTTCAGTAAATGTTTGTGTCACACTCACAATTTGGGGTTTATAACCCTTGGTTTAGCGCTCCAGATATGAGATATAATTAGATTCAGATGCCTTCATTTGCTCGGGAAACTCCAGCTTTACGACACAAAGCTAATGCAATGGAAGTAATTGGCTCCAGCTAGCTTGCTCGAAAAGGCCTCTATCGTATTATGGCTAACACTCGCCAGCACTCTGACTTAGAAAAAGTCCACTCCAAATATACAGTCTATTGGTGAGACCCTGCTGCCTGATTGGATCATCCTGCTTGAGAACCAAAACATAATATTTTCAATAGATTTTTTTTATTTTTTTTATTTTACAGCAATAAATCGTTCAAACTAATAACTAGAGTCTTTTCTGACTTTGAAAGTGCCTTGGAAGTCGTTGTCTCCACAGGTTGTTTTCTCTGTCATTCACACACCCTGGACACAGCATAGATGGGCTGAATACACTCAGAGTTACAATCTCATGAAGACTGAGCTCAATCTCACCCAAATGTGTGTTGGCCGTCAAGAATGGACTGGTGTAGTTCTCCAGGTTGAGATCCTCTCTGTAAACGGGGCCATCATTCCACATAAGATCATAACCCCCCACTCTTTTTTCTTTGCCAGAGAGCCTAGAGAAAAACATGGCAGCCACACACATGAACAAAAACATCACAGTTGAAGATTTGAAAAACATTTTCGTTTTAGTCTGATTTTGATTGATCCATAACTTTTGCCCAAGCTCTATATGAATAGACTGGTTTTCATTCCAACGCGGTGTGCACTCAAAACTTAAACTGGGATAACATTTTTAAGCAACTTCTTGAACTGATTCAAAGGTGTTTTGTGGAAAGTCGACCTGTCACACAAGATTTAACAGTAGAACTCCAAGAGCAGGCCTTTAGTGTAATTACATTTTTGGTCATAACTTTTTCTGTCTCTATTTGTAGTTTATTTCTATGTCGTTATTTATTTATTTATTTCTTCATGAGAGTAGTTCTTCCAGCGTAGAGCCAGCACTGGTTACCATAGCAACATAAGGTTTACTTGCTACCAGTTAGCATTAGGTGACCATTCAACAAACAATGTGCTGTATTTCTGGTTATATTAACCAGTTTTAGCAGTTAATAAAATTAGGTAAAGGTAAACCCTTATAACTGACTTACTTTTTATTCATCTGTAGAAAAACTAAACAATTTTAGGGACATTTCTCATAATTCCTAGTGTTAATCAAGGTAAATCAATTTACCTTCCTTCCATATCCACAACATTTAATGTATCTTCCAGTAGACGACACTTGAGCTCATAATCCTCTTTGCTGGTGGCAGCGAGTGATGGAGAAGCATTCACTTCGATGAGCCAGCTTCAAAAATACACTCTAGGTAATGAGGTGAAAATCCACTTTTGAACAAACTTCAAAAGCTGTGATACTTACGGCTTGAGGTTTTCGTCCAACAGGATGTCGTAGCCATAGAGCTCAAAGCAATGCTTATCATTAATGATCACTTTTTGTACACTCTGTAGGCTGCGGACAAAGATGTTGTCTATGTCTGTGAAAAGACTCTGAATCTTTTCTCTGCCGTGTTTGGCTGTCAGATATCTGCGGAGCTGCTGCACCTGCCACTTGCATCCCTGAACAAAAGCAGACATAGTGGTTCCAGCTTAAGATAAGAATCATGTGAAAATATTAAAAATGAAGCTACCCACTTTCTCAGGGTCATAGTCTGGAGCTGTTTTCTGAACAGCTACGTTGGTCAGGTGCATATCTACAAAGGTTTGATAAGGAGAACTGACCACTTCTGCAAAACATTTGTTTGTGCTATAAACGTTTTTGAAATAAAACTGCTCAAAGTCATTTTTGTGTGTGACAAATAAAAGGTAATACTAATGGTGTGTTGCACATTTTGAGAAGGCATAATTCCAAACATTTTGTTTTCGCAGCGTCATGAGAAAACATTCTCGAAAGATAGACATAGGATACGTTTATCATCAATGCTGCTCAGAGAGAAACGAGTATTTGAGAAACGTGCAAAGCCATCACGATAAAGCCAGGCCTTCAGAGGAACATACTGGAACAAAAAAGCATATTTTGATAAGATTCTAATAAAACTATTAAAGTATTAGAAAAGGAAGCGGTACATACTGATGTGACCAGTACATACACCCTCAGGTCAAATTTCCTCCCTGTGGGAAAATCAAACATTTATCTGGGGTTTCAAACTTTTTTGTTTCATAAATAATCAACTTTTGTCTCAACTGAGTCTTGTCCTGAAGTAAAATATTGTGAACAAAGTTGTGGTCTGATTCGTTATCTTCTAAAAACATGTTCATTATTGGGGTTGAGAGCTGTTTTGCTGGGTCCTCTCTTTTTCACTGTTTTGTCTGAAAAAGCTGATTTAAAGATGTGACTGTATATATGCTAAATCTAGTGATAGAACTGTTTTGAGAGTGAGGAATAGTTACATGGATTTGACTAAATAGCTCCATTGTTGTGGTGTGAAAGTTAGAGGCCCCAGATTCAAACGCACCATTAATGAGATATGGGTTCTCTATATACTGCTGAGCAACATAACTTTCTACTTGAGCTGCATCCTTCTGCTCCTCTGAGCGTGAGCCATCCTAGTGAGAGAGAGAGAGAGAAACCAGACTGAAGTTAAACAACAGTTATGTGACTTGAGTGTTGAGTGATGTTTTAAAATTACCTTTTTCCAGTCCATTATGTCTTTTAATTTCTTAAATAGGAAAATACCTTTGCCTTGTGATTTTGCAACCTGACAGAGAAGAATTTGTTTATTGTTCTGATCTGTTGCTGCTAATGGAAAGCATTTATTACTTGCACATAACACTTTTCAGCTTGTGGGGCGCCAGCTGTGTGTCACAATAAGGCTGAGGATGAAACCTATGCAACCTTAGTTTAGTTTAGTTTAGTTTAGTCTTTATTTGAAGGGACAGTGTACAGAGACATTAAGCTCAAAGACAGATATGTTCTGCACCAGATTATAGCTAAAAAGCTAGTTTCCATCTGCAGTCCCTGGTTACATCAATAAGATACATGGATACAGTAATGTACAATCCTAAAAAAATAACATTGCAATACAACACATTCTCTCTAATACAGACACACACATTTAGCCTCATACTTGTTTGTTAAAACCACACTTCATTCACAGCATCACACCTACATCACACCTACACAATAGACATAGCCACACATTCAGATGATACATTAACACATTCAGTACATTTCTCATCATACATAAATCACATACATCAGTTTGTAATCATACATAGATCATACACATCAGTCGTCCTGGTCACACACCTCAGGGTTTGTGTGAGCAGCTTTGATTGCTCCATAAGCATTTTTTAATTCTACTGTAAATGTAGGATAGTCTGATTGACTCTTCAGGTCTGTAGTGAGCTCGTTCCATTCCTTTATTGCTTTATATGTAAAAATGCTGATTGGGCAAAAGCAGTTTTACACCTGGGTATGCTGCACTGCCCCCTGGTGGAGGCTCGTGTGGTTCTAGTTGTCGCAGAAGATGTGAACCTTTGGCTCATGGACGGTCTTCTATGACGGTTTTTGATTTTATGCATTCAAATTATGCTATGTGACCCCCACTACCTGCAAAGCATTATGGTACTACGCAATCAGCAAATAAATTGTTGTGTTAATTCACCGGTTTCATGATCCAGGTGCTGCCCGGGCTTCTTTTGAACTTCTCCACAAAAAGGTGGTATTCACTGGGGAGACTGAACGTACAGGGGAAGAAGTCGCACTTTGACACCTCCTCGCGACCCTCCTCTTTCTCAATGCCTTTCCGATATCTTTTGAGATTTTTCACCATGAGGTTTTTACGAGTCAGCTGTGAAGCAAAGTCACGAATCAGACTGCAAAAAATGATCAAATATGAGATAATAATTGCTTGAATCGAGTTGTTTTTATCTTAATTTAAGTTCTTTCTGACTGTCTTAAAATGAGATTTGCCAATGAGACAAGCAATTTTGACTTGACTCAAGAACTATTGCTTTATTTTCTCATTCCAAGAGAGAAATGTCTTGTATCTTTTTAAAACAATATATTTTTTCTTGTTCCACTGGCAAATCTTGTTTTAAGGCAGTCAAAATGTGCTCAAATTTAGAAACATTCAGCAAAATTTGAGTACTTTTTGTCTTTAATTCCATCATTTTTTGCAGTGCAGAACAGGCTCATAGTGAACTTCAAATCTAATTACCTCAAAATGATTGCGGAAATGGTTGACCCTGACATGTTCTTCCATGTAAGAATGGTCAAAATTCTCCCTTAGCCAACCCACGTCACACCAGTTAAAATCCCAGGCTCCGTCCCTGTTTTTTTTTTTTGTATAAACACCATTATTGAAGTATTTTTTTGTTTTTAATTGTATGTTAACACCACTTACTCTTTTGCTTCAACCCAGCCTGGTCTGTGCCTCAGGACGTCCTGTATGGTGTTGTTTATCAGGCCACATTTATAGTACACAGGTAATCGTCCTTCTCTATTCACATCGGACAAAAGGAAATTGTTATTTAATAAGCAACAACTTGCTGCACATTAGTATTCAGACGCTCACATAACTTACCGCTCTTTTTTGTCAGTCTCATGTGAGGCTTTGTTCCCAGATGTCTGCAGAGGTCCAAATGAAATAGAACTTGTTTTGACAACACAATGGTTTATACATCTAACAGCTAGACAAATCTAAACAGCAAATCTAAAACCCATATGCCTTCATAGATTCATTATTATCATTATTCCATCTGAGTAATGTCTATGGAAAGTAGTAAGTTACTAAATTACTAAAATTATAAAACACCAAACACAGCTACATTACTGAGATAATTTAAAAAAAAACAAAGCATTACATTTGTGTTGCAATATTTCTGTAACTAGTGATTATAGGGGGGTAAACTAACTAGGTAGGTTTTAAGTAAAAACAATAACAAAATGTATTCCCTGCATGAGCTTACACAAATGAGCAAAACTGATCTTAAATAATTAACTTGCTAATGGCTTAGACTGTATTACCTTGCCTTTGGACATGGTGAGCTAGCTTAGTTGTTTTGGATAATTCAAGCAAGCTCGTCTGCTTTGGTCCAGAGCGTCTGTGCAACGGCCTGTTGTCATGGTAACCTAACATTGAGTGAAGCTAGAGCATGAGCTAGAGGAAACGTTTTGGAAGCCATCTTGTTAGTGTAAGAAGGCACATTGTTAGTGTAAGAAGCCATCTTGTTAGTGTAAGAAGGCACATTGTTAGTGTAAGAAGGCACATTGATGTATTTAGTCCATGATTGCGTGTCTATATACAAACATTTGTTTTGAAAAACATCCACAGCAAATTATTATACAGTTAATATGTATGCTGTTTACGGTTACTATTGAATGCGATGGAAACGACAGCAAGTTTTAAGTATCTTTTTTTATTACAAAAAGACAAATATACATATACAGCGATGCATACAATGACAAAGACAAAAAAAAACAATATTTACATTATACAGAAACAAATGACATTCATAATGGGTATGATAAGAACATTGACGTGCGGTGAGGCCGGTCAGATACCGCGGTCAAGTGGCCCTGCATTTCGTCGGCAGCGGTAAAGAGGTCCGCACTTTGAAAGCGGTTGGCTCCTTTATGCTGTTACTTACGGTAAACGTGGAAAGGGAAGCTATGGAGAAGCAAGCAAGATGCAATTTTATTAATAAAATCATTAAAAAAGATACAAAAAGAGTTTTGCGACTACTTTCACTGCACACTTGCCCTCTACCACTGTGTAAAATATTCACTTTTGATTGTAATCTTTGACAATTTTGTATCTGTTGTCACAATTACCACAAGTACACTCACAAGCACACACTCATTCACCCTGCAAACCGGAGCACCTGGAGGAAACCTACGTATTAATCGTAAACCTTGCATCTGATGTCTTGAAAACATCCAGTCTTATTATTTGAAGGATTGTTTGGTCGACCTGTGTCTGTATCACACACTGTTTATGTCTATAGAAATCTATGAGTGTTGTTTTTAAAGAAAGTAGTTTCATCACTACTGATGAAACTACTCATCATCAGTAGTTTTATGATCAGTAGTTATACTGGAGGCTGCCACAGGATGGCGCCACAAACATCTATGGTTATTACTTGGATTGAGCAGAAAATGATATCTGAAGTGAACATCTTTGAAAGTAGCTCCCTGGACTACTCGTTTTATTTATTAAATCACAAACACAACAGACAGAAGGGAGTAGGTGAGCTCAGGCAAATGGACAGTATCCAAAGAGACTCAAGTATTTCTGTAAAATGGCCTTGGCGTGTTCTGGTGTAGGCCGAGTCAGAGGAAGACGAGGTGGACCAAGATCTAAGCCAGACACATCTGACATGAGCTGCTTGTTTACTCCAAGATCAAATCCTGCAAGAGAGAAAATAATTTAAGCATACAACTACAAAAAAAAAACCTTTGTACATCTGACATTGAAAACATGTCACTTACCTATTTTCATTGAAAAACATATAAGTTCTTGCAATTTGAACTAAAGAGGAAAAAATATAAGAATCAGCATTGTTTTGTTAAAGTATAGATCCATGCAGAGTATAAAATATATACTTGTATAGCCCGAGCTTGCAACTGGTCGCAGCTTTCATAAGCAGCCATCATTTCTTTCATATAACTTCCAATATAGTTATATGTGCTGAGGATATGTTGAAAGGATAAGTATACTCTATTATGAATACAACATTCCACATTACATTGTAATACAAACCTTCCTACTGCACCAGTCGCACCCATTGCAAGACCAGAAATTAATTGCTACAATGAAAATAAGAGTTCTTTAATGAATAATAACTCTTACATAATACATTTGTAAAGCAGCTCCTTACCTCATCTACTCCATAGACCAAAGACCAATGTGGTCGACTGTGACTGACACACTGACCAAAATCCATGAGGTCACTCCCACTAAACTTGACTCCTTTGAAGGATGGAATGAGCTTTTCAATGTCATGCAGCAGGTCCCGCACTGGCACTGTTGGAAAGATCATTAATACATATGAACAGGATCTTTACTGTTGGGTGGCTGAATGTACACAGCTACCCTTCACTCCAGTGACAGATGGAACGTGGTAGTAATAGAACGGTACTGTGGGAGCTTTTATGGCCACCTGTCGCAGATACTCTTTTAGATCATCTGAAAACAATAGTTTCTGTGAATGTTTTGTCAATATCATAACAGAAAAGGGGAAAGTATCACTAGCAAACCGTTGACCAACCTGCAGTGCTGGGTTTGAAGAAGGATGGGGAGATGACAGCTATCCCATCTGCTCCAATCTGAGCCGCATGCTCTGCCTAGAGAACATATTTACAAACCAACAAATAAAACTGTGGTAAAAGACAATATTCTATGGAATTAAAATATAGAATAATATATAATATATATAATTTGAATGTGGTTGAGTTATTAAAGTCAACAAGAGGAGAAGAGATGGAGTCAGCGTTGTTTCTTGTCAACGTCACACTAAACAGCAAACAGTAAAATCGACGCAAGACTGTTGAAACTCAACATTTGAATCCATTCATCCACGGCCTCGGCTTCCGGCAAATGGCCCTTGCAATAAAATGACAATTGGGAGTGAGAATATAATCAACGTCTCCACATTATAAAGGGTAATCATTTGACCATAGTTTTCACTTGGGTCAATGAATCTACAGTCCGACTTCTGTAGCTCTGTCTTACTGCCTGTGACGCACATGTAGCTCCTCAGCACTGATCACTGATGCAAACCGACAGTAGCTCAGTTGGTAGAGCATTGGCCTTTGAGCCAGAGGGTCGTGGGTTCGATCCCGACTTTCACCATCGACTCCCACTGTCTGCTGTCGTTGTGTCCTTGGCAAGACGCTTAACCTCTGGGAACCAGCCACAGTGGGGCGGCTGTAAAGTGCCAAATTGCCGTTGTTTCCTCAGGCAAGACGCTTCACCCCCATTGCCTAGAATGAGTGTGTGAATGGTTGGTGGTGGTCGGAGCGGCCGATGGCACAGACTGGTTGCCTCGCTTCTGTCAGTGTGCCCCAGGGCAGCTGTGGCTACAGTAGTAGTTTATCCCCACCGTGTTTGGAGTGAAAGAATAATGACATGTAAAGCGTCTTTGAGTGTCCAGAAAAGCGCTATATAAAACCGATTTATTATTATTATTAAACCACCTGCTGGGTTTAAGGTACAAACGTTTTTTGTTCTATGATTTTACCTCACGGTTAATTATTGTGCTCTGTATAATCATGCGTCCTCTTTTGCGGCGCTAGTATAGATGGTTGCACATGCACAGTGGATCACGTAACAGTCTATGATTTAGTCAGCGTCTCTTTTGCAAAAATAACCCGAAAATACGTCCGTGAAGGTTGATTAAAAAAAATTGAAAAACATATAAGGATCAAAATATAACAACAATAGCCTTGTGGGGAAAAAAAAATAATTACAGAAAAAATTCCCTCAATCCTTTGAACTCATTGACTGCCATTGACGTAAATGTCTGAGACCCTCTTTTCCACTGGGGATTACAGGACAACAAAAAACGCTAGAAACAAACTTATTTTTGCTGTTGAAAGTAGACAAACCAGTCTTTCAGAATCTGGTTTCACATTTTACATAGTCCTAGGAAATAATATTCTGTGGGTCTTGAGAATCAGTGAAATCATCAAAAACGGATGCCAGTCAATGAGTTAATAATAACTTGTAACTTAACAACTTACTAATTCCTGAGAGTCTTTGAGGCTCATGCAACCGACATGAACTACGACTTGATCCATACTGTAGAAAAACATGCACCAGTCAAAAGC